AAGTGATTTTTTTTCTGCCTTAAAGGGCAATTGAGTGATTTAGCTGGTAATTTTAATCACTATTTTTATTGTGAAACAATCGGGATTGATTGTAGAGTGGAATGCACACATTTCTGTCTGTTTTAAGGTCCAAAACAAGACTACAGGAAAACATAGACATGATGGACTCTGGGGGTCACCGCCCCGGGTCTCCTGCAGGGCTCCTCTGTCTGCAGGAAAGCCGGAGGTGCCCAGGGCCCACGCCCACACTCGGACCAGCCCCGCTGCTCCCCTGCCGCCTGGTTCCCGGCCAGGAGCGCCTCAGGTCTAAGCATGCTTTTCATACCCTCGTCACTTTGAATATGCTGTTCTCTGTCCAGATCTCCCATCTCCCCTCTCTGTCCACCTGGCAAACTACTATTTATCCTCAGAGTCCCCCTTCCCGTGATCCCCAGGCAGGGCGGCCCTTGGGAAGCTGTCGTGAGGGCAGCCTGCTCCTGTCTCCCTCTCCAGGTGAGTCCCTCGGAGGTGGACGGTGTGTTCCAGCCGCCCCCTCACCCTGCTTTGTAATTCTTCGTAGCGTGTTCTGCCTCAGATGACTGTGTATAACTGCTTATAAGTCTTGTTTCTCCCCCCTAGGATGTGAGTTCAGTTGGAGAAAGGACCCAGACTTGTTTTTTTTAACTGTGGACTCCCCTGTGCTTAGCATCACATTGGCCCACAGGAAGTGTATTCCTTTCCTATAGCTGCTGCAACAGATTACCACAAGCACAGTGTCTAAAAAGTACAAAATTATGATCTTACAGGTCTGTAGGCCAGACATCCAACATGCGCTCAAATCGCAGCATTGGCAGGGAGGGCTTCATTCTCTTCTGAAGACTCTTGGGGAGAACCTACTTCCTTACCTTTTCCTGCTTCTAGAGGCCGCCTGCGCATCCCTTGGTTTGTGGCCCCTTCCTCTGTCTTCAAAACCAGGAATGTCACACCTCTCTGACTACTCTTCTGTAGCCACATCTCCCTCTGACCACAGCTGGGAAAGGTTTTCTAATTTTAAGGACCCATGTGATTAGGTTGGACCCACAGGGATAATCTCCCCATCGCAAGGTCCTTAATCATATTTGCAAAATCCCTTTTGCCTTGTAAGGCAATGGTAGTCACAGTTTCTGGAGACTAGGATGACCATGGGGGGGAGGCATGTAATTCTCTGCCGATCACAGTGGTTCCTGATATGATATCCAGTCAGAGCTGATTAGAACAAGGACCCAGCTGAGCTCATTCTTCCCATGCAAACCTTACCCAGAAATTTCTAATCCCAAAGCTGCACTAAACGGCACTAACAGGTTAAGCCTGTTAGTAAAGCGAATTGAGTCTGTGAAAAGGTGCTTTTTTTGAGAGCAAAGAGCAATCTTGAAATCTCATGCAAGAGAAGCTCTAGAAAGAACCTTCCCTCCTGTGGTTTCCCCTGCCCTGTTCCATGTTACCTAAGCCTCAGGAACAAGACAGCTCCATTGTTCTACCAAGGCGCGTTGGGAACAAGAAAAGGCATGGAGCCGCACAAGGTCTGCCTGGGACTCATATCCCAGACTCTTCTCCAAACCCCTTTTGGCTGCCACTGGAATTGTCTTCCAGAGCACAGTGCAGACTGTTTCACTTCCTCAAAGATGTCTATGGTTTTCCTTCTTCCTTCAGAATCAATTCCAAAATCCTTAGCATCCAGTATATTCCTCGGTTGGGTACCAACTTCTTATCTCATGCAATCTTCACAAAAGTCATCTGGTGTAAATACAATTGTTATGTCCACTTTACAGATGAGAAAACTGAGTCTAGGTCCATAACTTGCCCAAGGCTCCATAGCTGGTCAAGGGCACTGCCCAAGTGTACACCATAGGTCTGACCCCAGCGCCTGACACCTAGGCTCCGTGCGACTGGACCCGCCAGCCAGCCTCACTGCTGGAAGAATGACACTCTGGAGCTCGCCCCTGTTTGGACTGGGGTCAAGCGTGCACTGCTCACTGCTGTTTACCACTCCAGTGGTGGCAGGAATCAATGAGCTCCCCACTTTGGCATCTCTTTTCCAATCTTGCTGTGCCACACAGGGGTACCAGGCACTGCCAAACACCTTCCTGAAAGTGTTATAAATCGTCTCAGTGAAATGGGTTCAGGGTGGGTTTTAGCACTTCTGTCTCTCACCCCTTCTCCCTTGTAGGACATCTGTGGCTTTGCACGCACCAGCCCTGCCCAGTGGGAAGCGAGGGATGGCCAAGCTCCTAGCTGAGCAAGGACCCAGACCCCAACAGGAGGCTCTCTGGGCAAGACGGCTGTAACCCTTCCATTCATAAAGAGCCCCCAGAGCCACACTACCTGCCAGTTTAAATCTGTCTGGACAGGAAAGCTCCTAACCCTGCCCTATTTTTAGCACCGGCTCGGCTGAGTCAGTCTTTCTGCTGGCTGGGCGCCCCGGGCGCTCACTCCTTCCTTCTCCTGCCTTCGAGTCTTGCTCACACCTTAGGCAGCCGCAGGTCTCCCGTCTCCCTCGCTCAGCTTCCACCCGCACCCCGCTTTAGCCCTCTCTTCGGGCAGGTGCAGATGAAGGGCGCGAATCTCTCTGCTTCTCTTGATAAAGCCTCCCCAGAAGTCGTGTAACCCAGACAGAGCTGGACATTTTCATCTAGTTCACAACTTTGCATTAATGTAGCTGTAAGTGGGAATTCCTATTTTTTAAAATCGAGTCTAAGTTCAAAAGTGCCTTTAAGTGAAAATAATTATATTAACATCACTTTAGAGAGGACTGAAATGCCAGCTCTAAATTATGCCGATTGTTCATCATTTGTGATCCCGGAGTACAGCAGATGACTGGCATAGCACAGGCACTTAGATGCGTAATGGAGGAAGGAATGCTTAGGAATAAATGAATAAATTCTGAGGCGGTAGAAGCTCAGTGACTTATCCCTCTCAGGGGTAAGCTTGTAATTTGACACACAGAACTTTTCTCTAATAAATTGCAAATGATGGAGTTCTCAGGCATCTCTCCTGGGGAGGGGCTCGAGATGCTGTTGGCAGTTGGGATGATTTCTGTCTTAAGGAACCCTGAACTCCACTCAAAATAGTTTAAACAGTGCAGAAAATGTTTTAGCTCTACAGCAAACCTTTGGGTAGGGCCTCCACCCGTCTCGGCTAGAACAGGTCTGCTAGTTACTCAGTGGCTCAAAACCACCTGTAAGGTCCATGCTGCGTCCCATCCCTGCCCTGCGCCTCTTCCGTGGGACGATGTAGATCTGCGTGCTGTCCAGCATCACATGCAGGTGGCTGTCCCACGGAGGGGGAGGAGTTTCCTGCCATGCCCCGCTTTCCCAGTCATAGCATCCTTTAGAACAGTCGACTGACCAGATTTTTGATGGGGTGATGTCACAGGTACACACTATTTACTGATTTAACTAAAACCACAATTTAGATTCTAGGTATTTTCCCTCAAAAGGAACACAACCTTATCAACTGCTTTGGAAGAATACATTAACATTTTAATTGTAATTAGAAAATATATATAAAGAAATGTCTAAAGTCTAGAACTATGTGCTCCAGGCCAACATGAAAAAGAGCTTTCTAGAATGATAGTGGTTAAGTTCTCAACGGAAGTTAATACAGCATTTTAACAACCTAAGTGATCTTTTGTATGTAACAGCAATCAGTATTCATTATAGAATTGCGTATCTTGAAGAGTTGTCAAAAATGCAAATTGTGCTTCTTCACAAAGAAACCTGTAGGAAAAAAGAACATTTCTTCAAAACTCCACAAATAAAGAATAATGGAACTATGATAGGAACTCTGCTATATCCCAAGTGCCTAATATAGGGCTGGCACATAGTAGGTGCTCAATAAAAACATGGTAAATGACTGAACAATAAAATTTGATTAGAAATTTAAGAAATTAGAAGTTTCCCTGACAGGCAATGGATCACATAGAAATTAAAAAGCTAGATAAAATGTGACATTTTAAAGTGACCCTGAAACAAAATGATTAACCAGTTTACAACTGGTTATTATTGGTTTAAAACATAGCCAAAGACCAGCTGAAAAGCAACAAGTATTTGGATATATTTTAGTATATACAATTTTATAAAAGACCTCTCAGACATTCTATCAGTCTGCAGACCACAGCTTTCTCATCCCTGCTTGCAATCCTTGGTGTCTATTTTTTTCTAATATTCTTTTAGTTGCAAGTAACAGCAAACTCCAACTAAAGCAGAGCACAGAAGGGGGAAGATTTATTGGAAGGGCTCTGGGGCGGCTGACGGGCTGGAAGAACCACCAGTTCAGAAGACCTCGTGGGCTGGAAGGAAAGTCTTAGCCATCAGGACTCTGTCTCTTTCTGAATGTCTGCTTCATTCTCTCAAATTTTTCCATGAGGTTACAATCAAAGTTGCCAACATCAGCAGACTCTGTCTTCCTCTCCTGAGGGGAAGTTTGTTTCCAGAGAGCCAATTGGTTCAGCTTGGGTGACATTTCCTGTCTCATGGACCAATCTCTGTGGCCAGGGGGAAGGGTGGGACACAGGAGGACTTGGCAGCTCCCCTTTAGAACATGTTATCGGTATAAAGGTAGAGCAGTTCCCCAAAAGAGTGGTGGACACTCTCGAGTGGGAACATCTGTCCTTCATGATGAAAATTAAAGGCCCTGTTGGAAGCCTTCGGAGATGGACTGGATGGATTGGAAGCCTTAGGATATAGACTGCCTTCTGTGGGTTGGCCCTACTAGGCTTTCCACTTTCAAATTCTGGGTTCATAACAGTCTGCTACTTTAGGGTTCTAGTTGTGCAGAGATAGTTCACTGAATTAAGATCTGCATTATTAAAATGAGATTCTTAGCTAAGGTCTCAGTTGGTGAGGGACTAGACTGGCTTCTAGACTAATGTGTTTTACATTAAAGACCAATGTTTCAAGAAATAAGTGCAGCCCACATACCAGTGTTTGATATTTGGCTTTACTTTATAAAAATACACAACTTAAATACATATGACACTCTCTATACAAGACATAAACAACTGTTAGATTTAACATCTTCAGTTATTTCAACAAAAAGCAAATATGTAAATTACCTCGTACGAGCAAAAGGTTTGTTTAGAAACTCTGCATTCACAGTCAAAGGGCAACCAACCGATGCAGGAAGCCACCCAAAGTGTCCAACTGTCCAAGCAGTGGTCTCACCCACAGGGCCTTCACTGCGCAGCTCGAGACTGCCCTGGCTTGCTAGACACAAGCCAGTGTATCCACATCACCGGTTTAAACTTCTGTCTTCTCTAGAGATGTTTAATGAAAAAACCAATGTACAAATAGAATTAACTGTGTCTTACAATTGTGCTAAATACCAATCACAAGAAGTATGAACCTCTTTCCACTTTGCAGAACTTGCAATGGAAGGTGGTTAGCTTTATTTTGCAGCTAAAGTCATTTTCAAAAGTTTTACCAAATTCCTGGCAGACTCAGTGAGCTGGAGTGCAGTGGAGAAGGGAGTGACATTCCAATGCCCACTGAAGTTACTGGGAAGGGCACTGTCACGGTCAAGCACAGTGTGCACACAGCTCTGCCCTCTCCAACTCGGAGCTGAAACGCACCCTCCCCTCTAGACAGTCACTGCTCTGCAAGGAGCGGCCTCACTGCCACCGCCGCCACCCACTCGGCCTTTCTTTCAGGAATTCAGCTGCCTTATCTACGGCTCACTTAACTAACGTGAACTAGGTACTAGTTTATGGGCATAAAGAAATACTGACCAGCTGAGAATGCAATGCTGAGAACACACTAGAGCAAGTTTCCTGAGGTAAACGTGAGCCTTGAGGAATCGTGTGAAGCTGCGGAATAGGGGCAGTTTGTGTTGGGTCCAGCACAACACCCGAGTCTGGACTTATAAGTGGACAGACTAACAAAACACGGGACACGCTTACGTGAAGTAAAATGACGATGCTGAAGTCACAGCAAAGCCGACAGCCGAGAACACCGATCTGGAGGGGGCAGGAAAGGGGGGCACGGAACAAAGCGGGTGCACTTTAAAGGGCCTGGGTAGGTCGGACGGTTAATTTGAAATGCCTCCAGGGATTTCTAACGAGCTTTAAAAGTTTTAATTCTTGGTGACTCAGGTGTGGAATTAATAATAGCTGTTCAAGCTTTTTATTCCTTTTTTAAAAACAAGATTCTCTACAAAAAAATTTTTTAGCCATTGAAATTACTCTGCCAGTTGGGTGTTCTCACTGGTGTATTCTGAGACCCTAACTGGCTGAATAATTTAAAGGTTGAACTACAAAGGGCATATTTACACCAAGAAGTTAAGTTGATGGATGCAGTTAATACCAAAAAGCCTTTTCATTGCAGATCATGTTTCATTATCTTTTGATATTCTACTCAAGAATTATGGGAGTCAGGAAAATCCCAGGACCCCGAAGCGCCACTGTTTTCCCTTCTTTCCCATAATGAAGGAGTACATGGCCATCCTTGACAGTCACAGTGAGGTGCTGGGAACTGAGTCCCAAGACCTAAGAATCAAAATTAGGCTAAATTCCAACAAGTCGGTCATTGCATAAGGGGACAGAAGGAAGCCCTAAAGAACTCTCTGCTGTACCTGCTCAGCAGCACACTTGCACTGCAGTTAAATGAGGTGACTGACCCAGTGTTGAATGCCAGTGATAAAAACTGGCACCAGCTGTTTATACAGGCTACATGCTCCGTGAGCTGTCATGTCAATTTGCACTGACACCACCATGCATGATCCCTCATCCATACGACTCCTAAATTCTGTAGCAGGAACAGATCGATGTTCAATTACTGTAGGCAGGATGAAGGCCTTAAGCAACATTTAGGTCCAGAAGAACTTTGGGCTGGAGCTCTGCAGTCCCAGAGTTAGTTCAAATTAAAAGGCCAGAGGAAAATCTCACAAGAAATAGTTATCTCAGATCTCAATTCCTAAAAAAGAAATTTTCATCCTCACCAAGATGAGAACTGAGACTAGAAAAGATGCTCTGATTTCCTCACAACAAGCTCCATGCAGCCCAAGGGCAGCCACAGAATGAAGCTGCTTTGAGAGGGTAAGAATCCACATGACTGAAATGGGCGTGAATTAAATAAAAGTGGCTTTTCTCCTTAGCTGTAAGCTATGCTAACTGGTGATCAATATGGGATAGCTGTTTAAAATTCACAGACAGTACTGTTTCAGGTACCGTAAAGTCCTAATCAGTGCAGGGTGGTCACAGCTAAAAACATGAGCATCATAATGAGTGGTGAGGTGATGAGCCACCCAGTGAGAACGGTGTAGAAGCTCTGAGAGGAAGGCTAGGCCTGACACTTGACCTTCACCCATCCCTTAGAGACTGAGGAGACTATGGCAGAAAAATGGATTGTTCTATGTGACATTAAGTTTCATAATCTGTAGTTTAAAATATTACTATTCAGAAATGTGGAACCCAAGCAAAATTATGAAGATTCCTCCCACACAGGCTTTAAGATCTCTCCCTCTACCACCACCCAAAGGATCCACACTGGCCTCTGGTCAACCAGGCTCAGGTCAAGGCTTGTAGGACAGGATGGAGAAGGCAGTGGGTGGAAGCCAGGGATTCAAGGAGAGGGACATGAGGGCAGCTGCGGTGTATGAAAACAAGAGCGGAGAAAAAGAGGGAACTAACGCTGACAAGGAAGCCAAGAGGAAGCCTGGCTTGTTGAGAAGGACCCCTGCCTTTCCCACCTGTCTGTGGCAAATGATGCAGAAACAAGAGAAGGCATAAGCCTCATGGAGGGCTCTCCTGAGGCATCAAACGTGCCAGGCCAGGCTCCTGTGCCTCTGGAGATGTGTGCACAATCCAGTGTGACTGCAGCAGCAGCTGTCTTGGGTCTGAGTCCTCATTCCTAGGTGATGATGCTCCTTACAGCAACCAGCACCCATTTCCACAGCCAGGGAGAGGCCTAGCAGCAGTCACTGCACTCAGAAGCGTGGCTGCCGCTGCTTGTATTCTTAGGACTGGCTCATCTCTCCCCCTGGTGGCTGGAGAAAGGAACAGACTAAATGTCATAAAGGGGCTGCTTAGCTCAGAATTGTATCGCTTTGTTTCACAAACTTCCAAAGGGCTGCTAAGAGTTCATTAATTTTAGATTGATGGTTAAAATACCACCTAAGGAACTCATTCTAAAAGGCGCAACTTGCTTGTGAGGTCACACCAAACTTTCAGGGGTTCCTCCCTCCAGAAACCTCGGGGTCTTTCCTGAGCGAGGTGCCTAAGGGAGCCCTTGATCTCAGCTTGGAAACATGGAATGAGCTACGGCGCCCAGGCGGCGCTTGGATCTCTTCTCTTCGTCTTCTCTTGGTTCATTTCTCTCTGTGAATGGTAACAGGCACTGGAATTACTGATTTACAGATGACAACACATGAGTGAAAAGAGCAGTGGGATTTTGTGGAGGAAAATCCACGTTGGCTGCTTTACCTCCAGGGAAAGTCTGTTTGTACTGAGCCCCACACTCTTCTTTCTACTTCCTACTTGATGCTTTTCAGCAGGGCTGTCCGGGCGTTCACAACCGCTTTGAAGGCATCTTCACTGCCAGGAGCCACACACTTGTCAGGGTGAAGCAGCACGGCCAGTTTCCGGTACGCTTTGTTGACTTCGTCCCTACGAGAAGGAGCAAAGCTCGATGTCAGAAACAGGGTCCGCCCCACGTGCTGCGTTCAGCTGTTTGGATAACGTAACAGCTCTTGCAGTAAGCATGTCCCAAACAATTGCTACCCTTTCCAAAGGTGGGACTAGGAAACAAACAAATAATATATAACATACAAGTAGAAAAAATAAAATGCAAAATGAATATATAAACACTAAGAAAACAGTCAGTAAAGGAAGGGTCAGATGAAAACAGACGGGACTTGGCACCTGGCAGCCACTTGGCAAGTCTTTACTGATTGAGCAATGAGGCCATGGGGCGGTCAGGGCAGGCCCCCTGGACTAGAGCTCTGAAAGGTGGGGCTTGGGGATTAACACAGGGGTGGGGAAATACAGAGCAACAGGGAAAGAGCTGGCAGAGGCTAAGAACAGAGCGTGGGCACAGCGTGCAGCTCCATGAGGAACTTGTGCTGGGAAGGACAAGACAGCAAGTAGGCCAGGGAGCAGGGCCAGTGAGTGAAAGGCCATGAAGGCAGAACAACAGAAAACCAGACTTGATAAACAGTAACAGTGGTAGGCAGCTCACGGCAAATGGTGCTGCGAGCGCCGTTTCTTCAAGTTAGGAGATAGGTAGGAGGTTGTTACCATAACCCAAGCATGGGCGTGTGAGTTTCGATACGGTGTCTGTGGAAGATAAAAGAGGTAATATAAAGAGAGAATTGGCAGAAGCAGACGATGAGCCAGGTAGACAGGTGGATAAAATATAAGAAAAAGGGCTGGAACGAGTTCCAGTTTCAGGGGGAATCTGAGGCCCGGGGAAGAGGGTGACACCAATGGCCAAGAAAGGGGCATGGAAAGGGGTACCTGAGAGTTACAGTGGCTCCTTGAGACAAGAGAAAAATTAATATCATCCGGAGAAGAAAGGAGCAGCAACAATGAATATTTCTCCAAAGACCAGCAGAGCTCCAGGGGAGATCCTTAGGTTTCTGAGGTCCTCAGTGAGCAGGAACTAGTGGGGAGGGGCTCGGGGACCAGCTGTCCCTGTAACCTTGTCTGCTCTTCACTATCCTCAGGTGTCAGGCCTTCAGAGGGTTCTAAGTCCCCAGCCATGACCCTGGTCAGAGTCTGGCTCTGTCTCTCCCAGACGGCTTTACCTTCCACCTTCCTTTTGTAGTTCAGGGTTCCCTTATCCCATAAGCCTGAATGTGGTACTTTCCCGAATGCCCTAGCTTTCTTTTCTCCTTAATTTTTATCAGCAGGACTGATAGTTTGGCTCTGCAAATTAGGGGCATGTGGTCTTTGATATCTTGATGAGACATAAAGTCTTGTGTCAGCTTAGAGAGACAGAGGTCACAGGGCCATGTTAACAGTTCTCCGTGTCCTGAATATACATTCTAAGGCTTTTTCTGGTTTCTGCTCTTAGGGAGTCCTGCATTTTCTTGTTTTAATCTTGCATGTAGGTTTTCTACATAGATCATTTTGATATTAGCTAACAAGAATCACATTCTCCCTAACGGGCTCTGTCTCTGAGGCAGGTTCAGCATCCTCTCTATTCCCATGAGTGAGTCCTGGGAAGGCCCCTCTAGCTACTCTGCTTCCTGAGGGAGCATGTACACAGGGGGTTAGTAGTGAGGCCTGGTCCTCTGCACTAAGAGTGCTTTGTAAGAATTCTGGTGGCAGGGGAGACTGTCAAAAGAATTCTGAAGAGACAGGACTGAGTAAAGTATATAAGAGATATATTAATTCTACTGAAGATGAAGATTTTCTTAAAGTTCAAGAATAGTAAACAGCATTGAACAAACATTAAAACTGTCTATAACTTAAAAAATTATTTTTAGGTTTTGCCTAAATGTGCTCAATGCCATACACAATTAGTTTCCTATACCCAGAGGAAAAAGGTAAGAAAAGTACGTGTTTCTATTGGTTAACAGCATGGAACTTATGGAGGTCCTATAAATTCTGGTAGATTCCAATTAACCACAGTGAATAAATAAGAAACCAAAGTTTATTTTTCCATAATAAATATTGTTCAAAGTTAATTAATAAGTAAAGTAACAGTTTCTTAGTTTTAGAGCCAGTATCCCTTGAGGATGAAATGGAAGAATTTAGAATGAAAGTCTAAATGTCCTTTTAACCTTTTAGACCATGGAAGTCTAAAAGGACATTTGAAAGATACCAATTAACTCTGTGCTATATACATGAGGTCATCTGAATTCCTTCCTTTTTAAAGCATCTCTAGTAATGCCTGGAAGTCGAGGTGACCAATGATTTATTCTTGCATAAGCAACAAGAGTAGTGACTGCGTTTCTTTTTCTCCCAAATAATTCTTTTGGCTAAAATAAAATAAAAAAAATACACACAGATGAGGAACTAGCAGGATTTTTTTGAGAGAAAATGATGAGAAAGACACACACACACACACAGTGTTCAGGGTCAAGAACCATTCTACCACTAACTCCTGAGGTTACTGAATGTATTTAGTCTCACTACATAGTTCCCACATCAGGCAACTGCTAACAAATGAATGCCAAAAAGGCAAAGTTGTTTTTTTGGTCTTCAGTTAATTAAGTAAAAGAGCATTATTAAGTAATCTAATGTATTTCCACACATCTTCATATTTCTAGACAATTACAAGAAGATGTATTGTACCTGCAATTTTGACACTTGAGACTTTCTCTCTAATATAACTCAGCACTAATATCACAGAGCACTGCTTACCTGGAGGCCCCAGGTTTGACTCCCAACATGTCCCAACTGTCTTTACTATTTCGAATTCTGCGAATGGTGTCTGCTTGTTCTTTGGTGAAACTAGCAACGCTATTTGTGATAGGACGTTTCCCACCATTTTCACATAAATCAACTATGGAGGCATAAAATGTCTGCAAAAAGAAAACACATATCACAGAAAAAATGATTTTGCGAAAATAAGAATTCCTTTTAAGCATCAGCTTAAAGGATTTTAATATATTCCAGTAACTCTTAAAATTCATAATAAAGCAAGTGTTTCAGAGGTAAAGGAAAATACCATCAAAGAATTAAAGGAAACTATGCTGTTAATGAGTGAAAAGATAGAGAATCTCAGCAGAGAATTGGGAACTACACAAAAGAACCAAATGCAAATTCCAGAACTGAAAAGTGCTGAATTGAAAAATTCTCTCAGTGGATTTAACAGCAGACTGAAGTCAGAGCAATAGAGACTGTGCAATCTTAAACAAAACAAAACAAAACAACAGAGAAAAAATGGAATAAAAATAAACAGAGCCTCAAGCATTGTGGGACAAAAGCAAATGATCCAATATATAGCTGGAGTCCTAGAAAGAAAAGAGAGTGCGAGTATGACATATATACATACATATATATATATATATATATATATACGCACACACACTTATACATATGTGTGTGTGTGTGTGTGTGTGTATATATGAAGAAATAAAGGTTAAAAAAAAATCTCCCCAAATTTCCTGAAAAATACCTAGGCACATAGTACAACTGCTGAAAACCAGAGAGAAAGAGAAACTCTTGAAAGCAGCTGGAGGGGGGAAAAAGACATTATACACAGGGGTGGGAATAAGAACGGGTGCTAACATCTCATGAGAGACAAGAGACCAAAAGAGAATTAACTAACATCTTTTAAGTTCTGATTTAACCTCTAACAGTTACTATTTATAACTCCTGGACAAATCACTACTATCTAGGTGCCCTCCTACCTGAAATGAGAATGATACCTGCCACACATTGTTCAGTCTTAAATGTGATGAAATATGTAAACCCCTCCAGAATTATAAAACACTATTCAAATAGTTAAGAATTATTATTGCGCATATATAGGTACAGACCCACAAAGGTCTATGTATGCAAAAAAAGAGAAACCTGGCAAACCAACATCAGCCTTATTTGGTCTTGAAATAGAAGCTACTGATGCCCAATTCAGCCTGTCAGCTGAGGATGAAACCTGTCTTCTAATAGGAGGGGTGACAGCTTGTGAGGAGAAAATTCAGCATAAAAGATGAAGCAAAATCCCACTCAATAATTAAGAACAACTCTTTACAGTATAGCTACATTATTTGAAATGCTAAAAATTCCCAAAATATCAGATATATTCATAAGAAAAAAATGCATTATTCATCCCACCACTTACTTCCAAATGGATCATCAAGAGTTGACTTGACTTTATAACTTAGTATTTAAATAGCCTCCTCCCCTTTAAATTATTCAAGTTTGGTAAATTTTAAAAAATGACCATCTATTCAGGTTGCAATGTGAATACGCCCTTCTATTGTCTACTTGGTTGGTGAGACCTAGTTTTTCTGTGACTGACAGGATTCTGCAGTGACCATCTCCTGTTCTCTGACTGCACCCCCAGGGCTACAGCACAGGGTTATCTTAGCCATGGCAAGGCAATTCTGCCAGAGTAACGCCTCCATTTGGTTATGCATACAAATGTAACCAAAGGTGTTCTGGAAGGAATTCTTTGTCCCACTTAAATAAGTGTGTAATAAGTGTTGTTAAACTTGATAATCACCAGAATCACCTAAAAAGTTTTTTCAAAATACAGATTCCTAGCTCCATCAAAACATTAAGCGTCCAGCAGGTCTGGAAACCAGCAACCTGTATTTTGCAGAATTTCCCCAAGTCAGTCTGATGATCAGCCAGGTCTGGTCTAAAGTAGACAGCAGACAGATATCACACATGCACCCATACTCATGCCCATATTCTTTCTCTCACCAGCTTCTGAAAAGGAAGAGCTTATTCCAATGAGAAATTCCTTTTTCACTTCTCATAATTTAAACTAAAATTTGGCATGGGCAGCCTTGAGACAAATTCTGAAACAACAAAATGCCGGGTTACCTGGAACATCTCATTAATTCCTTCTCCCGTTTGCGCTGAAGTTTCAAAGTACAGGAACCCTTTGCTTTCGGCCCAAAGACGCCCTTCACTTTCGTCAACACAGCGGTGCTTGGTACAATCGATCTGAAAGAGCAAATTGAGGGGCAGAGAAGAGTCCCACTTTGTCCCACCAGAGGAGCCCAATGAGGCCTGTCAATCCTTTACTAAGCAAATACTATTCTTAAATGAATGCCAGCACTAGCACATAAAGGTACCAGGACCAAAGGGACAAACCAGTCACCAGTGTTGACTGGGGACTGATTTTCTGCGGCAAAACAAGTGCCTTTTCCCGCACTCCCCACTTCATCCCTGGAGGACTGCTGCTGGTCACCCCTGAAAGCTGCCTTCATTACAGCTGACACACTCCAGGGGCCAGGTCTGTTCTTCACCCCTTTCCACACAGTCCACTTTTCACCTAACTAGCACCCCTCCTCCAATCAGACCAGAGTGTGATAGTGAGGGTCTACCTCCCCTGCTCGGTCACCAGTACCATTCCCCACACATGTCCGGCACCAGACACAAAACTGGGTGAAAACCCTGATAGAACAGGCTGTTATTTTTATTGTTCTTGTTTTAGGGACACCTGTTCTGAGAAGTTGTTGATTCCTATATTACCAAATAAGGAATTTTTCTTTTCTTTTCATCTGTTCCCCCAAACTCAGAGCTGCCCTCTTGCCATAATCAACCTAGAAAATTGAGCGTACCATTCCCAAGCAGTTACCTTATTGGCACACACTACAAATACAACATTTTCCATGTTCCCATGGGGTCCGAGGTCCTGCTTCATTTCTGCCAGCCACGCATCCAGGGCATCAAAGGAGTCCTTCTGCCCGACGTCATAGACCAGCATCACACCCTGTGTGTCCTTGTAAAACTCGTTTCGTACCTTCACAGAAAAGAACAGATGCACATAATCTGAAATAGCAAGTTGAGGAGAGGTTGTGATTTTATAAAAGTATCTCTCACAGTCATTAACTTAGCAAAGTATGTTCTTTGGTGTATTCACAGTATTTGCTGTCGTATCTCAGTATCTACTGGTCTTTAGGGGATTTTTTTATAAAATCAAAGTAACACGACTTTAAAAATCCGTTAGTTCAGAAGGGCTTGTAATGGAAAGTCCAGCCTCCTCCCCTACCCCTTCTCACCTCCAGTTCTACTCCCCAGAGGCAGTCAATCTTTAAGTGTTAACAGACCTTAAAAGAATACAAATTACATAAAGTTCTTCTCAGGAAGAACATGAGAGTGAGTGGACAATTAAGAAGAGCTTAAGGCAAAAATGACACAGAGATCAGCAATAGGTACAGCCATTTAGACATCACATCCCGAAGTCAACTCTCCAAGGATGCTAGGCAGGTTTCCCTATGGTTGGATCTGTACCAACTTCAGACTCCCCACTCAGAGCCTCGGTGTAATGCAATGGAAAAGAGCACAGGCTCCGGAGTCAGATCTGGGTTTGGATTCACACTTAATGATTATCATGTGATCTTGGGCAAGCCACTTAACCTCTCTGCGCCTCAGTTTCCTCATCTGTAAAACGGGGATACTACTACTTACTCCACACGGTTGCTATGAAGAGTAAATGAGATGAAGAGGCAAAGCACCCACATGGTGCCCAGAAAACCATGTGTATCAGCACCTTCTCCCTTCCTTCCTTTCATTCATTCTGATTGTCCTCCTTTGGTATTTTCATCAGAAATGGCAACTTACTCACCTGGGGCATATCTATAATTCTGGGAAGAGGCGGCCTGGAGTACAGGGCACGCTCAAGTGGCAGAGGCAATGATAGGTGGCGTGGGTGAGATGTAGCATTGACAGATCTGGGGTTTCAGTGGCAGAGGCCATGCATTATATATTCTTTGCAAAGTATTCCAGCGCGTATTCAGACACACACTGGATGTGTAGTAAGAAATAAAGGTGTTTTATACTCATCACGCATGAAGTGCCTGGAGTTTTCTGAGCATAGACACCTGGACCTAGAATGTAAGTGCCTATTAATTAGTAGAAACATAGGAAGCTATTCCCTAAAACTAAAACCAACAAAATCAGTAAGAATTTAAAGTGACAGAAACCAGGCGTCTTCTCCCTTGCACTCATGGTTGTTAGCTGCCTGCAGCAGTAAAAAGCAGGCCCTTCCTTCTTTCCTGAAACTTCGCTGCCTTGTTTCCCATATAACACACTCCCCAGGCTCTTAACTGACCCCTCTTTCACCAACTCCTCCTCTCTCCATGGTCCTCACTCCAGCCTGCCAGCAAAATGCCCCAAATGGTGTCCTGGGCCCTCTTTTTTCTTCAATATGTTCGACAGGAAACCCTCTAACTTATCCTTCCTAAACTTTTCTTTCTCTTGAACTTCCAGCGATGAAAGCAGCAGGCCACTCAGTCGTTTCGGCTGAAAGCCTGGTGCTAACCTCGCTCTTTCCTCTCCTTGGCTCAGCAGATTCCGTCGGTCTTGTAGAAGCCACCTCCGCCATACTTCTTGCACCTGTCACTTCCTTCCCATTTTCACTGCCAACATTATCTCCACGAGCCTTCTAAGTAATCTCCCCAGCACCATTATACACTGTGCATATTTACCTTTTCAAAATCCTGGCTCAAAAATTCTTGAGTGTTTCTCCACAACCAGCTCCCCAAAGTTCCAACTCTCTTAACTGACGTTAAAAGTTTCTGATGAGTGACCAACTTCTCAGTGTTATTCTCCTGCTGCTCCCCACACTTCAAACTGGATAATCTCTCATCCCCCAACCTACGCTACGCCTTCCTAACTCCATCGGGAAACGGCGCCTCTGTATCTTCCACCTCTCAAGGCCCAGTTATAATCCTGTCTTTCATGAAGTTTTTCTGCCCTGCTGCTCGCCATCCGACTCCTTACCCCTGCCAGACAGAAGGTAACCTCTGAATCCCTAGAACACCGCAGCATCTCGTACTTCTAATGGTGCTCAAATCACTTCCTCTCTGGTCTTACAGTTAGTAGCACATCCGCTGTCTTCCCCACCAGACTCAGTGCCACGAAGGCGGCACCCTGATGCACCCATATTTGTATCACCCGCTGAGCCTGGGAGGTGTACAGATCTAAGACATACATGTTTGTTTAGTCAAACGGCTGAATGTGGAATGGCAGAGAACAAAATAGAGGCCAACGTGGAAAAGAACTTCAAAACACAGATTGTGTTGTCCAGGGGGAGGTTTGTTTATAAAAAAAAGACTTCATCTTGAGTTAAGTGATTTTATTACCTCAAGCCTGAGTTTCCTCATCTGTAAAATGACAAGGCCAAAGTAGATTTCTCAGTGGCCACCTACAACTCTCTTATTTTGGTCTCCCAAACAGCTTTCTAATGTTAGTCTTGGCAGACTTGCTACAGCCAGAGTTTAAGTAAATAGGATGCTACAAGAATTGGGATTATTTGATTCTTCTTTTTTTGGGGGGGGATTATTTGATTCTTAAAGCAAAGATGGTGAACTTTCTAGTTTGTAGATTAGAAAAAGCTGTTAATCACTCAGAAAGTTTCTATGGACCCTCTAACTCACCCCAATAAACCCCAGTGGAAGCACGACTGGTGGGTGGAGACAGGCCCCACCATTCCCTTGGCGGTCCTCTCTTTGACACTTGCCCCTGAGGCTGTTGTCTCACATACTAAGCAGACTGTCCTTTCTCAGTGGGCCCTTCGGGTAAACCTGTCAAGAGAACTGTGACAGGGGAGGCTTCAGTGGAGGACAGGCAACAAGGATTCGAGGACGCCGGGGATGACAATGGCCGTGTGTGCTTCACGAGGTATATGCTGAGCAAAGGTATACTTCGGCCAACCTAAAGCTTAGAAAGAAGACGATGGCTTTGGGCTTGCCAAAAAAGAGGGTTTCAGCTACAGACAGCAAGTACTTGATAAAAAGGAGTGATCAAGCCTGTTTTGGAGAAAAGCATCTTCCAAAGTGATGATTTCAGGAGCTGCTGTTAATTACATGACCGCTTTTATGAGCTGCTATTAAAAAAAAGGTACTGCGATTTCAGGTTACATTATGAAGGGTAGTGTCTAATGATAGAGAGTTGCAGAACACTCAGTGTTCTCCCTGGTTAGACACTATCTGGAATGGTGTGTTCAGTTTGCAGCTCCCTATCAGCTAACTAGAGTTTATCCACAAAGGATACTGATAGGTCTAGCTGTGGCAGGAATAAAAAAAATGTTTTACCTGGACAGGAACAAATTAACAAATATTAGAAAGGCTCTTTTGTACAAGAACAAACTCAGTGTATGTTGCTTCAGAAGCAAGGTGAGCCCTGGCTGGTGTGGCTCAGTTGGTGGAGCACTGGCCAGTGCCCCGAAAGGTCGCCGGTTCGATTTCCATACAGGACACACACCCAGGCTGCAGGTTCGATCCCGGTAGGGCAGCCTGCAGGGGGCAGCCAGTTGATGTTTCTCACATCGATGTCTCTCTCTCTCTCTTCCTCTCTCTCTAAAAATCATTTTTTTAAAAAACAAACATATCCTCGGGTGAGGATTAAAAAAAAAAATCTAAGCTCCCACCTCAGGGACCTAGAACAAGAACAAAACAAGCCCAAAGCAAGCAGAAGGAAGGAAATAACGAAGACAAGAACTGAAGTAAAGGGCCAAATGAAAAAAGAGAAAAAGCCTCCTTAGGAAAAATGGAAAACCTAAGGAAGGCAAAACAAAAGAGAACCGCCCTGAGATTCACTTTGAGAGCTTAGGAGTGACAAACAGATGGAAGTAAAGCAAGTGGGGTCCCCCCTGGGAGAGGCTCACACGGCCGAGGCGGAGGCGGGACAATCACTAGCGCCCTGCTGCGAAAGAGGCCACAGGGCTGAATTTTAAGTCCAGTATGAATGTAACTATCCTTTCACATCCTGGGCTCAGGTACAAAGTAAAAAGCACAGTCCCTTGAAGGGTAAAATGTCTTCCACCAGCTACATTTACCTATTTCCACACATGATTTGAATATGGGTTATTTCAGATAATTCAGGATCTTCGCCTCAACCACTGAGAATATTGGATAGAGGTGTTCTCAAAACAGTTTTCTTACCTCATAGAAGAAGGGGTGTCCAGCCATATCAAAGATGTTAACTTTGATTTCTCTGTCTCTGACTTGTACCCTGAAATGTTCAAATGAAAAAAAATCCCAAAGGAGGTCATAGTTTCTGCATTCACATTAATATTTGTCACTTATAAATATTTGTCATTTATAAATTTCAAAAGCATATGTGTATGAGATTTAAAAGAGCTCCTTAGTGCCTCCTCTTATTCCAGATCATCTTTACAACAGGAGACAGCAACTGGGCAGATAATCCTGCCTCCTTATTTTAATAACACTGAACCCACCTGGAACTAGTGCTCTCATTTACCTTCAGGTTCCTCAGACACTTCAGTCCACACTCCTTAACTAACAAATGGTGGCTATTACTATGGTACTAAGAAAAATTGATTTGGGACAAGTAGGAGCATCTGAGATGAAGGAAAACAAAATATTTCATTTCCCTTAGTAAGACATCTTAATTACTACTGGTCATATTTGGTTACCATGCAGAACAATAACAAATATTATATTATTAACATCTGTTTAATTTTCTTGTAATCTTCATTCCAGTACCAGCAATAGTCAATGTTTTCAGAAATTTGAAAACAGAGAAAAGAACAAAAAGGGAAATAACAACCATTCATATTAGAATTAACTACTGTTAACATCATAGCATATTTGCTTCTAATATTTTTTAAAGGAAGATCACTACTGAAAAATAAATGAATAAAACATTATAAGTAATTCAAACACTAAAGAAAAATACAAAGATGAGAGCTTAAAAGTAAACCCAAATCATGTCACCCAGAAAAAACCTTTATTAATCTAGATAAAAATCACTGCAGACTTTTTTTATGTGTAGATAAGACTAATATGCAAAAATTTTAATAAATATGGGTATACTAATTTAAAATAGAAAGCATAAAATTTACATTTATTGGATTTAACAAAAAGAAGAAACAGAAACTGAAGCTAATTAGGAGGAATTATTGAGCTTAAATATAAGTGTATCCTCACCACAGAAATATTATTTCCCAAAAGATTCCTCTAAGGTAAAAGAATAGAGATTATTAACAATAAATTAACAAATGAGAGTCTTTTTGAAAATGACATTTCCGTTTTAGACAGCATTGGTACGACTCCCTCCTGTGGAATACACGGACATCAGCACTTGCGCCCCTTGTCCCTCTGCTATCTTCTGGTTCATTTATTACTATTCTCTGTCCAAATTTACAACATCTACTTTCAGTTCTGAAACCCGAATTCCCATGGTTGTTTTCTATTACTTGTATATTTAAACCAGCACTAAACATCTTATCATGATTTCCTCATTGCTGAATTCTCTACCATATCGCATCAAGTTTAAGAGGCATATTTGTGTGAGAACAGCAAAATAAAACAAAACAATAAGAGTTTGAGGGCATCTGGAGATCTGGTATAATAATTTATATTAGAAATTTTACTTTAAAGAGAGAGCATTTGAGAAGGGATGGAACTGAAGTATATAAAGTCAGGAAGTAACACAAGTGTGTTCACACGCTGAAACTCAAAAGAGGTCAACTTAATTTAGAAGCCAGAGAAAATTACCTTAAGGGAAATGGCAAGGCATTACCGAAAGGCAGTGCTTTCTCAAGGTGTGGCCTGAAGACCACCTGCCTCATGATTTTGGGGGGAGGAGGGTGTTAAAATGCAGACTCCTGTGCCCCACCTCAGACCCAGGGAATCAGAATCTTAGTGGGCGGGTCCTAGGAATCTGCATTTTGACAAAGTCTACAAGTAATTCTTAAGCATACTGAAATTTAAGCTTCACCATATTGAAAACAGGACAGGTGGAATGGGCATCTATTATTTTAATGGGCCAAAAGAGTGCTCCTCTGCCCCTTTTTTCTCCCAATTGTGATGCAGAAGGGCTCTGCCGTGTTCTCAGTGATCCCACAGCAGAGTTGGGGAAAGGCGTCTGTCCCTACCTGACAACCAAAACCTTCCCTGGGGTTTTTTAAACTTGGAATATTAATTTTGCTCCCTCTCTGGAAGTAAAATTTACAATGTGAGCCTGAGAGCTGCTGGCAGCTGTGCAGAGAAAGCCTAAAGGTAGAGAGAGATGTAGTGAAATGATCTGGCTTATTCTGTCCCTGGTTCCAGTCATCTTGAGGCCCAGCTACATCTGTGTAACTGGATTATGTGAACTAATGTCCTTTTATTTTTTTGCTTGAGTTCATCTGAGTTGGGTTTCTGTCAATTATATTCTCCTCCATGGGATGACCATCTTCTCCAAAAATAATCCCAGCCAGAAATAGAAGAGTGTTGAATAAATCACAGTTCTGTGGCATAATATGGTGATTCTCATTTCTTAGATGGGAAAAATATCCTCAGGTGAGGATTAAAAAAAATAAAAATTAAAAAAAGATCACAAATCAATACAGCTCTCTGGTAGAAAATTTTCCACGTCATATTTAGACTTTTTCAGAGAGAATGTTTCAAAATGCTCTAACAACATACCTGCTAACGGGACCTCCTTCCATAGAAACAAGCTTCCTGCAAAGCGACACGTGCCAGTTAGGCTCTGTGTTGACATGCTCCACACTGTAGCCCTACACCTAACACAAGGCCTGGCAAGGACAGTGTGCTCAGTGATGAACTGATAGTGACAAACGATACGATCTCCACATATCTGCAAAGGCCTCATTTCTATTCTTTCCCGATTTAGCTTCAGAAGCTCTATTTCAAGACATCATTTTAGAAGAGTTCTGAATTTTTATGTAATTTACAAGCCCAAATAAATGATATACTTACTTTGTAACTCCATAGTCAATTCCAATTGTCGCAAGGTATTTAGACACAAATCTTTTCTCACAGTAGCGCTTTATAATACAGCTCTAAAAAAGTGAAAATACATGCTTTCAGTAAATATCCTCTGGGAACATACATAAAATAAACACATTTCTTCATATGGTTTCCTCATTCATCACTATAAGAAAACATTTTTAAAAGCCAAAGGTATAAAATAACTGAAACAAATGCTAAAAGTGAAGATGTTAAAGAAAAATTATTTTTAAATTCTCCCCTTAGTATCAAATATGGGTACACTTTTAGTTTAGTTCTCAATCTCTGTGCTCTTTTCTTTGAAGACCCCTTCTACTTTCAATAATACCTCAACAAATCTAAGTCCAGCTTTGACCTCCCTCCCAAGACCAGGTCCCCACCTCCAAATATTTGTTAGACTAGTTTCTACTTAGATGTCCTGCTGTTACCTCAAATTCAACAAGTCCAAAAATAAACTAATTTATACGTAAAACAGCTCATCCTGCTGACATCCTAGTTCTGTTAATAATACTACCATTTGCCCAGTCACAGAGGATCGAAATATTAAAGTCATGTTTGACTCTGAGCCTTTCTAAATCTTGTGAATGTTTCTTCCATCTTTCTCTTCATTCCAGCTGCCATTGATAAACCTTTGCTTTAGGTCATCATCTGCTCCTAGACAACCGCAGGAACTTCTTTCTTGGTCTTTCTGATTCCTTTCCCTCCCAACTTCAGCCAGTACTGCACATCACTAACATTATTTCAACTCAGAAATCTTCAGCGGCTTCTCATCGCCAAGAGTTCAAACCCAAATTCCTTTGTCTGTTAGTCAAGGTCCTCCGTAATCTGTCTTCTCTGTCTAAACCCTTCTACATAAACTCTCCATTTCTGCAAAATTCGCAGGACCCAACTTCCTGACTTTTGCCATTACTTTTCCTTCTACTTAGAGTATGCTTTCCCTCGTCTTTTCAAATCTCAGTTACCCTTTAAGGGCCAGCTCAAACTGAGCATGCGAGTCGTAAGAGCTCTTGTCTGCATCTGAAGCCCTCCAGCACTTCGCATGTACACTATGACATCCACATACGCCCTGCATTTGCCATATGTCATACACTGCCTTGCACTGTTAATCGCCTTTTCACATGTGTATATTTACCTTATGTCTTCAGCTAGACAGCAAACTATGTGCAGGCAAGGGCCAGTATTTTACTTCTTTATAACTTTTACAGAATTAGCTCAGTGCCAATGAGAAACCAGTTTAAAATGACTTGTATATTTATAATAATCCTTAGCACTCATGAAGCTTATAATTTACTTGAAGTGCTGATAATGGAGTTTATTCTGCTCAAATCCTTTCCTGATGAACCTCAATCTAAATTAAATAGGACAGTTACTATAAAAAGGACTTAATGAGCTCATTGTGAACTAAAGGAAAAACTTCTTTGGAGTGACTACTGCTAAGAGGCTACACTTTTAACAACACATTATAGCTTGAAAGCACTTCACAAATGTTTTCTCTCACAATATACTAGAAAAATATAGTCTTTTTCTAAATTATTCATGAGATTAAGGGGCCTGGAAGTCCTTTAACTCTATACGCTATGTAAACACTAGTCCAGAGTGTTTAAAGAGATATACATTACGCCCTAGCCAGGTGGTTCAGATGGTTGGAGTGTTGCCCCAGACACCAAAAGGTTTCAGGTTTGATTCCCAGTCAGGGCACACACCTAGGTTGCAGGTTCAATCCCTAATTGGGGCGCATTGGGAGGCAAGGGATTGGTGTTTCTCTCTCTCCCTTCCTCTCTCTAAAATGAATAAACACACCCTTTGGTGAGGATTAAAAAAAGAGAGAGATACACATTAAAATAATAACGCAAAGAGACAGAGTTCCTGGTCCTTAGGCTCTTAGGAGCTAAGTTAAATAACATAAATTGAATTTGTTTGCTTTCACTATTTTTCTTAAATAGATTTTTAAGGCACTTTTCTTTTTTAATGCACTTCCAATTAAAACCTTAACAGCTTTGAGTCTTTTAAAAATTTTTTCTTGGTTATTTTCATGTTTAATTTTTCATAAAGATTTTAGTATCTTTTGTTATGGGCTGAAGAAAAACCCTATTGAAAATGTAACTGGAATTGAATTACATTTGTGTACTATTTTAAAGAATTAACATCTCTACAATACTGAGTGATCCTAATTAAGGAGAAATATCTTTCCATTCACCTAAGTAATTTTATGTCCCTTTGTAGAGTCTGAAATTTTTCTTCATATAGGTCCTACCTATTTCTTCTCAATTTTAAACCTAGGCATTTATTTTGGCTTTTTATTGTAAATTAAAATAGTTTTTAATCATATATTCCAAACAATTATAACTTTATATAGTAAAGCTATTAATTTTTGTATATTAGCTTTTCCTTATTGAGTTTTCTTGTTAAGAATAGCTTTTCAGGTAATTATCTTTGGGTTTCTAGATAAACAATCATATATTACCAAATAATGATAATATTGCCTTCTTCTTTCCAGTACTTCTATCTTATTTCTTTCTCTTATCTAATTGTACTAACAAATGAATATAGTGACACTGGGCATTTTGCGCTATTTCTAATGTTGCCCCATTAAGCATAGTAAAATTACAAAAGTGATGCATGCTCACTTTGCCAATTTAGTCCATGACCTTCTAGAGGCGTTTTATTCTTTCCTTTTCAATGCCTGGCACATAGCTGACGTTCTGTAAATGTTGACTTTCAGTAAATGCTATGTTAGTACTCCCATTTATACACACTGATACAATAAGTAGTAAAATGCTGCTAACTAGAAATAAAGACACTAATGAACATTTAATGAGCATTACCTACGTGCAAGCTCTTTTAACATGGAGATCCTATTCCCAGTTGATTTTGACAGCATGCAACCATGGAAAGAGCTCTGCAGTGGGAGAGTGAAGACCCAGGTTCTAATCCTGTCTCTGTTACTAATTTGATGAACTTGAGAGGTCCTTAACCAACAGCTTCCACTTACCCAGGAGACAATTTGGGCAAAGAGGAGGCGGTCTTATAATTCATTTAGGGAAAGACCTCCGCCCCCCCCGCCCCCC